ATTAAGTGCCAGCTGGCAATCAAAATCATGAAAGTGGCTATAGACAATTCCCAGACGTCCCCTTATTTTCGGTTAAAAATTAATTAATTGATTAATTAAAAAAAAAAATATATATATTATCTAATAATCAAGATCGTAACTTGTCACTTGATCCAAAATCCAAACCGCGTATCAACATTGATTTACATGATGAAATAACATAGACTTATTTTTATTTCACGCTTATAAAATGACCAAAGTCCACCTCTCAAGTAGTGTACCAAATTTGACAATTTCAATAAAAAGTTTTGCCCTGAAACAGATTTAGAGCCTGTTTGACTAAGCTTTTATAAGCTTATATGTTAGTAAAACGCGTTTGGTAAATTTATTCAAAATATCTTATTAAAGAAAAAAAAAAAACTATTAGGGAACTTTTAAGCCGTTTTAAAAAAAAGAGTACATCCACTCCACCGATTTCCACCGATTTCTAAATAAGATCTTATGTGTTCATTTACTAAAATATTTAAAATACAATATTACACTCATCTAACTTAAAAGCTCTAATCCAAACACGTTAAATTCAATCTTTAAAATAAGATCTAAGAGCTTATCAACTTCTAAAATATCTTATCTGATGTAAGAGCTTATAAGATGTATTCAAATAAGTTTAGTCAAACGGGCCCTTAAACAGGAGGGCTGACAAAATTTGAGCAAACTAATATTTTAAAATCAGATTATAAATTTCATATTTTCCTAATATTTTATCCATGAATCACAAAATCATCGAAATCTAAAAAGAGTTTCTTAATCTCATCGATTTCGATCCAAATATTACATATTTAAATGTAATTGACTCCATTATGATTTGCTTTGGATTTTGGGTCGGAATCCAAAGTGCATATAAAATTACCAAAAAATCCAATTGCTACCCGGATTTAAATTTTCCAAAATATCTCGAAAATTTTAAGCTTTTCGAAAAAGTAAAAATATATAATCCATTTGTTTTCCAACCCTACCTTACTCTTACCAACCATTACATCTTTATTTTCCACTTGAAGTGTCCAAATTAAGAGTTTGCCATTTCATGGGTAGGTAATAGGTTGCTTTACTTACTTAGGTCGACTACTCATTTAAAATGCTTATTCAAATATTAAACTAATTCAAGAGTTGTTGGTGTGGCACTAATCTTTTAGGAAATTAAAATATATATTAATCATTAATGTTATGTTAATTTAATTTAATTAAATTTTAGTTAATTTGTTGATAATGATATGTTGAATAAAATAATTTTCCAAGTGGGTTGATTTGTTGGCCCAACTCTTTGAAAAAGTACCAAGTGGGAAAAACCTAAGTTAAACACATGTACAAAATCAAATGATTAATTTATAATTGATTATAAAAATGGAATATCATTCAAATGATGTGTGATCCACTTATGACAAATGTACTACTCGGTCTTCATTGGTCCTATTGTGCAAGATTCAAATGTATCTGGTAAGAAAAATTTGGATGACAATGTGAACTCAATTTCTGTTTCAGATATTGAAGTTTTTGACAATTACTGTGTATCGATCGTAACTTATGGTAATGACATATTTCATATCATTACGTACCAAAAGAATTTGTATACGTTTTTTTTTTTGATATATCGTTACTTCTGGTACAGTACCATAGTACATGGTACTCTATCATTATCTTGTATTACGCTAAATCTGTAAAAAATCTTGTGAAGTATAACAACCTATGAATTTGAATGTATGTATATATTTATTGAGCTAATAAACATTACACATTAATTTTCTAACGCTACGTAATGCAAATTTAATTACATACATGTTTGGTTATTGTTAAAAAAATAAATATAAATATATATAATTACATTTAATTTGAAAAACAAATATAAGAAAAATTACATGTAATAAAATAAAGTATTTAGAAATATTTTTTTGAATAAAGTTATAGAAAAGAAAAAACCATAATAATAGGCATGTTAGATACGGTATTACCATGGTATTGCGAGTGAAATACGATTACAATACCAACCATTTGCTACAATACCAATATTGTATCCAACGAATTTGGTAACCATACTTTGGGATTTTATCGATAATCTTCGATTAGTATGCCATAGTATGATAGTATTCGGTAAGTGGCAATTATTTTCCACCCCTGTATTTATTAATCGGTAAATTACAACCACCATCCAGATGTATGGTCAAATTACAAAAATCCCATTCCGTTTGAGTAATTACATCCACCCCACAAATCTTTTTACACGCTCACCCTTGCGGTCTCAAATTTAGTGAAATCTTCGAGATTATATGGAATATTATCACTTTTGTACTCGTTTTATCCCATTCGACCTCTACATTTTGAAGCAAGATGATCATAACATGTGTTTTTTAGCTTGTATATATCAAATTGTGGTGTATCAGAAAATGTATGTTTAGTATATATACCCCGTGTATTAAAATTATTACAAAGACATCTATATAAATTCGATTTATTATAAGTAAACGTTCCCCAGCCGCCCTGTTATGATCCCGTCACTAACGTAACGTCTACATAAATTCAGTTTATTATAGTAAATGTTCCCCGGCCGCCCTATTATGGTTCCGTCACTGATCATAATTAATTTATATAAATAAAACTCAATGGTATAATTAAATGTAATTACACACTAAAAGGGAGATTTAGTCTAATATTTGTTAATGCACGATAGATTAAGCTAATGCTACTACTCCAATTGTAATATATTACTCTAAAATTTCCTAATTTTCTTATTTTCACCAATGTTAGCAAATTAAAGAATACCCAACAACTAAAAAAAAAATAATTGATTGCTAATTAATTAGTTGCTAAAAAAAAAAACCTTTGGTTGTTGACTTTTTACACTGGCTTGTACCATAGTTATTGGACGCTTTGCAGAATCTTCCATACCACAAATCGGTTGTTTTTATTTAATTATTTATTTTGGAGTTATTCACCATTTTCTAAATTAAACAATATTCATTGAATATAAAACAATTGACTTACAAATAGTTGATAGGAGAATCAACACAAGGAAGCTGGCATGCATGTTATGCATTTATTTTATTTTTCTTATATTTATATATTTAATATATTTAATTAACCGATTTTTTTTTTAAATAAAATAAATAATGCAGAATCTACATATATATCATTGGATACATATTATTAAACAAACTGTGGATTGTGGAAGAGTGAAGGAGTTTGGTCAATGTGAAAGAGACAGATAAATTTTAGACAAGAATATGAATCTTAAACACTATTATATGACTTCAATTAATTTAGAATAAGACACCGATTCACAATTATAGATACCAATTTTACTTTGTCTTTATTTATTTATTTAATTTTTTAAAATTTTATTTTATTTAAATGTAATAACAAAGTTTTTTGCCCTTAACCACATTTTTCCCATACGATGCACGGGAGATAGCATTTCAATATTTAAGTTGTGTTTGTAAAAAATAATTAAAATTTAAAATGTTTGTAAGATATCGTAAAAATTAGATACGAAAATTATGCGGGGATTTAGAGAAATTTTATTGTTTTTCGAAATAAGAGAAATATTTGAAATGATTCAAAGCGATGTAAACAATTACTTATTATGTTAGAATTTTTTTAATTATTTGTATCATAATAAGTAAAACTTACCGTTCGAGTAATTTTTTTTTTGTCAAGCAGTGTTATTTGCATAAAAAATAAATTTAAGATTGATAAATATTTAGTGAATAATTTTTTTTTTATATATAGTAATGAGCTGAATTAGGATTGAACCATAGTAAGCTCAAACTTGAATAAATAAACTTTTTTGTGAATAATAGAATGACTCAATCTTTATTAGACTCGCAATTAATTAGACTCGACTCGAATCAACCTATCGGGCTTTGACTAGGCCCTGATCATTTGGCAATTCTACTTTTAAAGAAGTTATTAGAATCACCACGGGTTGGAATTCGGATGGATCGCTTGAAAACTCCTATTTTGCGGAAGTGAAAAAATAATTTCAATTATGTTTCCAAATGAAAAGTCGAAATTAAATTAGAATTTCAAAAATTGGAGCAAAAAACTTGTTAAAAAATTTTCAGATTGGAATGGCGGGACTAGGAAATTTCCATTTTCTAATCACCCAAAATATATAATACATAATAAACTTGATATTATAAGTTTAATATTCGAAAAATAAATAGAATTTTGAAAAATCAAAATCGGATCAGAAATCGTAATCTCATCTATATTCGAAAACCAATCCACAAAGAATTGGAAATCAAAAATTTGAAATTCAAAATGAATGTTTTGATTCTCTGATAGAAATTTTTGAATCTGAACCGGCAATTCCATTTCAATTTTCACCCTCATCTCCTTAGCCCGCCATAGAAGCTATAGCTCGATCACTTATGAAAGTACAATTAGATATCCACAATCAGCCCGCATGGGTATAGTTCAACTGATTGCGGGGTGGTAAGTTGGTACAAGGTCCTAGTATCGACTTTTGACAGCTGCAGTGTGGGAATTTCAACCTCCAATGAGGCTTGGTTCCTGGTGGGCACCAGGTCCGGGTCCGCTACCCTAACGGGCCGTTGAGTCACCGTGATTTACATTTTTTCATCAAATACTTGTCTGGAACGAAGGATTTTGCCCTTTAGTATGAGATATCCACAATCAGTACACAAACGACGTTCCCTATTAAAAAGTATATTAGAAAAAAAAGTGATTTATCAGCCGAAATTTTAAAAGTTTTTTTTTTAAATAAAGGCAAATAATTAATAAGCACTTTTTATGATTAATAATAAATTCCATTGATAATTAAATTGGTAAATAAAAATAAATAATATCAAGTAGGTCATTAGAAATAAGAACTTTCCTGAACGTGCAGTGGAGGTGAAGGAAGAAAAGGACACCAAATCAACCTACCCCCACTACCTAACCATGCAATATTCTGCATGATCAATTTTCTTTTTCTTTTTTTTTTTTTTTTTTTTTTTTTTTTTACTTTCAATAATAAGCTGCTACAAGAATTCTATAAATAAGCCATAAGCTGAAGCTATTTTGAGAAGCAAGAAATTCTTTAATCCTTCTCTGCACTTTTTCCAAGATTTAGAGCTTTTATACTTCTTTCAATATTCTCTTTTCTCTTCCGAAGATGAAAGACAAATTCTCATGCACCATTCTCCAGAGCGAAGCTCTCTCTAAGGTTTTTTTTCTTCTCTTGTTTTGCTTAATTTTTTTTTTCATATATATATATATATATATATATATATATATATATATATATATATATATATATATATATATATATATGAACATGAAAAAGGGGTGATTAGGGGTTGTAGGGAGGAGATTACTGCGGCCGCCTACGGCTGCCGGATTTTTTTTTAAAGAAACTATTTGTTCAGCCACCAGCAAATAGTTTCTTTAATTTTTTTTTACAAATTATATTTTTTTTAAAGTATTGTTTTTTTTAAGGATTTTGGTGGACTTGAATTAATTGTTTCACAAATAAAGGATAAATTGATTAATTAATTAATTAATTAAAGTTATGAATTGAATTTCACAAAAAAAAAAAAAAAAAAAAAGGAAAAAAACCATCCAAAAAGGTGTTTGTAATTATTCATATTTTTGAATTATAGTTAACTAGTGGAGAGTTGACTTGGAACCGCACTTTATACATTTGAATGCAGTGTGACCTTTTTTGAAAAGACTTAGAAGAAGAAAAATTGATAATTTCCTTCTATTCTGAATATTCCTTCTGGCTGCAAATTTCTTCGTTACCAAATAAAAATAAAAAATATAAAATCAAACTATCAAAACCTGATTTTTTATGTTTTTATTATCTCGTCAAATTATAAATCAAAAATTTATTTTCTTGTTTAGTTACGGGTATTTTATTAACATAATTTTATTTTTATTGATTAATAATAATGAATTTTAAATTGCAGTATCTTTTGGAAACAAGCGCCTACCCGAGAGAGCATGAAACACTCAAAGAACTCAGGAACGCCAGTGCTGAGAAATACCAACAGCTGTATGTATACTATTTAATTTACTAAAAAAATTCAATAATATATAAATTCAATTAAAAAAAAATTAAATTTCAATATTATAAAGAAAGATTAATTATTATTATTTTTTTATAATATTTACAGGAGTGCGATGAACGTGCCAGCAGATGAAGGCCAATTTATTTCATTACTATTGAAAGTAATGAATGCAAAGAAAACAATTGAAGTTGGAGTTTTCACCGGCTACTCACTTTTGGTCACTGCCCTTGCTCTCCCTCATGATGCCAAAGTAATATTTTTTTTTTATATATTTTAATTAATTAATTAAATTTATTTTTAAATAAAATAATTTTATTTTTTAATTTTAATTTAATTTAATTTTTTAATTATTTTAGATAGTGGCCATTGACCCAGACAGAGAGGCATACGAGACTGGGTTGCCGTACATTGAGAAGGCAGGTGTGGCACATATATACAGTTCAGGATTCAGATGCCATATCGCGGTTCCGCTAGTATCACGTCGGGCCCGACCCTAACTTTTTT